CTTCTCACAAACACGGGGGGGGGGAGATGTTTACCTCCCCCTGGAAGGGAGATGTAGGCATTGCCAGCCTTTTCCCTTGCGGAGGGGGGGGGGGCGGGGCGGAGAAAGGGGGCCCGGAAGGTGTGAAATTTCTCAGGGCTAAAGAAGTGAAATGAACCTGCAGGATGTCTCGTGCAAACGGGGAGGGGGGAACCATAGGAGGGCCCCCTTTTCTGAAAAGCCCCGCGGGAGAAGGATGGAGGAAGGAGCCCTTTGTGGAGCAGGGACTGTAAAAAGCTGCCCCCCCCCGCACGAAAGAAGGCCCCGTTCCATCTAATAGTCATTAGCATCAATTAGGAGCCTTTGAAGTGGCCAGGCGCTTTGTCCTGCCGCAGAAAAGGAGCCCTCCTTTCGGGCAGCCCATAATAATCACATCTGGCGGGAGGAGGGGCTGCCGCCGCCCCTCCGCTTTCATCTCTTCCCAAGGTGCTTGGAATGTTAATGGGGGCAGAACCAGGAAATGCTTTCTCCTCCTGGAGACCTGGCGGTGGGAGGGGGGTCTCCAGAAGTCCCCCCTCCCTCCCCTCGCAAGAAGAGCACCGCCATCCCCGCAAAGGCGCCCCGGCCCCGGCCGTTCTTCCGCCGAGGGCGACATTTCCCAGCGAGAATCCCCCGTTTCCCCCGCAGCCCACGAAGGAGCGCCGCGGCTAACGAGGCTGGAGGGGCAGCGCAACCGCCGGCCCGGGCGCCGAGCCAGGCTGTACGCAGTACCGGGGGCAGCCGCCAAGGCTGCCCCATGACCCGTCGCCGGCCTGGGTTAGGGCAAAGAGCCTGGTGCTGGGATCCCCCAGTCCCGGACTGCAACCGGTGGTCTTGAGCCGCTTTCCCTCTGCCCAGCCTGCTTCACAGAGTTGCTATTAGGATAAATTTGCAGCGAAGGCCGCCTACACCGCCCTCAGCTCTAGGGGCAAAATGGGGTTCAAGGACTCTCTTCATCCAAGAACGTTGTCTGGATGCTTTCCACTGGGGAGTTGGCCAGAGGAGGTAGTGCCTGGGGTTTTGGGGGATCAGACTGATGGGTGAGGAGATAACCCCCCCCCCTCCAAAGGAGGAAAAGCAGCCTTAAGTTCTGCAGCAGAAGAGACTCCTCTTTGGCTCCTGTGATCTCTTTGGACCAGAAGATTGGGGGGGGAGCTTCCGAGAGCCAGGAGAGCACCAGGTGGGGTCCCCTCCCCAATTTCCCCACCTTTGTGTATTAAGTTGCATTTCTCCTTTTGCCTCCCCTGCCATGCTGGGGGGCGGGGGGGCGGAGCCAAAAGCAGAATTATGAGGGCTAACAGAACTCACTTTTGGTGAATATTGACACTGCTTTGTTTCCTTGTTTTTATCTTTTGAATTATCTGTTTTAATCATTGTTATGTATTTTGATTGTCCTATTACCTACAGTGCCCAGAGTCACTATTCAAGTGTCATTCTCGTTAATTAATGAATTGAAAGTGGATTGATTCCGCTGTCTTCCCAGGAGGCTCATCCTACTTGTAAGAAAAACTGAAATTCTACAGATGGGGGTGGGGGGGTGGGGGGAAGGTCAGTCTCCAGGCCCTCAAGGGCAGCAATTAGCATGGACAATGACCTTCATCAGCAAGCCTGGGCCTGTCCAGCTTTGTGGATTGCCCTGTCTGGGCCTTCAGGGCTGCAAGCCAAGGCCTCCCCTCCCTCACAGGTCTGCATCACCCTCCCAAAAACGTGGCTGCCATTCCTCCTGTTGATGGTGGCTCCTCCGGAAGTGACCTGCAGAAGGCGGCCTCCAGCCCCTCCGGCTTCCCTGTGGCTGGGGGTCCCTTCCCCCCTTGGGAGGGGCTCCTGAGAAGGCTCATGGAGGGGGTGAGGGCTAAAGGAGAGAAAATGGTCAATGCCCTGCTGGTGGCCAACTCAGGCTCCGTAACTAGAGGACTGATCCAGGGTTGGGCTCAGCTCCCTGGTCCACAGCTGGTTCTTGCCGAAACAGGAGGCTCCTGGTTCTTTGGGGCACTCCCTGGCATGGTCCTAGGTATGTAAGCAGGACCAAGCAGGAGGGCCAGCAAGGGAGGCCAAGGGGAGGCCTGTGCCAGCTCCTGGAGCCATTGTCCAGAAGGCAGAGGGGCTGGGTTGGCCTCTCTCCCCAAGGGCCCTGGACCCTCCTCTAAGCAGCCATGGGTTCCCCTGACCAGGCTGGAGCCCGGGAAGGGCAGGGGCTGATCCTTGCCCAGGAGGCCCCAGGAGGAGGCTGGAGGGAGCCCTTCTCAGCCTGGGTGCCGTGGCCTCAAGCACATCGGCCTTTGCTACATGCCAACAGAGTCAAGCCTCCACTGGGATTAATTGGGCATTATACACAGGCCTGACTGGGCAATGTTACAGCCAGGCGTGAGGTTAATCCTCCCACCCCTCATCCTAGTCTCTGGCCAGAGGGAGCAAAGCTCTCCACTCTGGCCAGGCCCTGTATGGCTTTATACACCTCTGTTATGTCCCATCTCCCCCCCCCACCCCAGCTTCACTGTCCCCCCTTGGGTGATGAAAGTGCTGGAAGCAAACACCCGGCTGAGAGAGCCTCAAGGACTCCTCCTTGCAATGTCCGAATTCTCCCAGGGTGGCCCCGGGTCACAGAGGGCTTCCTGGTGCCCAGACCTTCCTGGCTGAGAAGGCAGCGAGGGTCTTTGGGGGGGAGCAGTGTGAGGCTGTCCCTCTCCTCAGTTCCTGCTGCTTTCCCCCCTTGGGATTTCACTTTATGCTTGGGGCATGAAAGGCAGTTCAGAATGTGAGGCCCAGGACAGGGGCTTCCATGGTGCACTGCCCACAGTGGGGTGGGGGGCTGCTGATCCTATTTCGGGAGGAGCAGATGGGATCTTCCTGGCTCCCTCGGTGGTTGTGCAGTGGCACTTCCATGGGATCTTCCAGTCAGGAATTAAGAAGCGGAACTGATTAAGCAGGAAACACGATTACCTGCCAAAGGGACTGGGGGGCTGGGATGAGCTCCTGGTGCTTCCCTGCAGAGGGATTCCCAGGGCTCTTCCCGAAGGAGCCTCCCCTCCCCAAGTGGAATGTCAGGAAGCCGAGTTCCTGGAAGAAACCCAGCTGGAGTCTCTGTGTAGCAAAGAGGGTCAAATCCATTCAAAGTCAGCATTTTCCCCTCTGGTCCAATTCACTTGAGGGGGGGGGAGTTGGGGGAGGCATTTTCTAGACCTGCCTCTCCCAAGGGACAAGACAGGAAGGAGCTGGGCTCACACGTCTTTTGTCTGCTCCACCGACAGGACACGTGGGAAATTTCTCCATTCCTGATATATTTTATAGCACCCAAAGTTGGAAACAGTGAAATTTATTTGGCAGTCCAGCTCTGTGTCCCAGCTGGGCCTTCACTGAGAGCCCACTGAGAGCCCACCTGGGGTGAGACTCGCCTTGGGAGGCAGGAGGAAGAATGCAGCCCAGACAACCGGCTTGACCAATGGAATCCTCCACCCCAGGGGACAGGGGGGGTGGGAGCGTCCCAGAAGGGACCCACCCCGGGGGTTTCCGAGAGAGCCAGTCGCAGGAGATGAGAGCTTTGGGAAGAATCTGCTGCCAGAACAGTGCAACAGAGGCAGCCCGAGAGACTTCTGGGTGGGCAGAAAAGGCAGAGAGAAGGAAGGGGGGAATCGGGGCCCTTCCCTGTTGCTGGAGGAGAGCCCGAGGGAGGCTGCAAGAAGCCAAAGGAGGAAGCGCAGATCTTCTCCTGCCTTTGAAGTCTGGAGGGAGAAGAGGGCCAGGAGCAGCCTCGGATTGCCCTTCGGGGGGGGGGGGGGGCAAAAGTGGGACAGAAAACCTGCCCATCCCCAGAAGGAAGGAGGGGAGCAGGGCTGGCTGGGCCAGGACAGGGGAGCCCCCTCCATGCGGAGCTCTTGGGAGGGTCTTTCCACGTAGCCCCTGAGGCTTCCCCTCTCTGACTCTCATGGCTGCGACGGCTGCAGCTGAGCCTGGGGTCCTGTCCAGAGCTCCCCCCCCTCTGCATGTGCACCCCTCGGTGGGTTTGGCATGCAGGGCTCTGCTAATCCTGAAGCCAGAGGAAGTTCCGGCCCCAGCAGGACAATCCCTGGGCAGCGTAATCCTCAAAGTGGCAGGGAAGGCGGCCAATGGGATTAGCTGAGGGAGGAAGCCAGGTGGGGAGATGGAGCCCAGCCGCCCTTTGTCCCTCTGGGATTAGCAGTGGCCTGAAAGGGCCGGAAGGGGCTCCCCTCTTCAGGGGCCAATGGGACGTCGGTTTGGGGGCCAGGCAGCCGGGGGCCACAGGAAGGGCTCAGCGGGGCTGATAAAGCTCAGGGGGACGTGATGGGGGGGGGATGCCTGCACAGCATCAGGGAGGGGGGCAGTCAAAGGCTGGCTTCCACTGCCAGGGGGTCCAAGACCCCCCATCCCCCCCGAGAAGGATGCTGGCTCTGAAGAGGAGAGGAGGGGGCTACGTCTGCCCTGGAGGGGGCTCTCTCGGCCGATGCCACTCTGAATTCTGACAGTGGAGCATGGAAGCAGCTCAGGCTCCAGAATTGGGGGGGGGGGGCAGAGCAGAGCCCTCTTCTGAGCAGAGGCCTGGCCCTATCCCAAGGGAGCACAGACACACAGTCCAGGGCAGGAGCTCCTGGTCAGCAGGAGGCCTCCGCCTCTTCCTAACATACCCTTATGGGTGGGGGGGGGGACTGCCTTGGTCTGGCCTAGATGGACTGCTGGGGAGCTTAAAAGCTGAAGCTTCTTTGGCCTGTGATCTGGGAAAGGCCCCCAAACAGCTCTCAGGGCCTGGCTGGGCTTATCCTGAGAGGAGGCAGGGCTGCAGCCAGCCAGGCTCTCATCAAGGCACTCGGAAAGGCTGACTTGCCCCCCCCCTCCCCTCCCCTCCCCGGCTTGCATCCCAGAGAGTAGGTTGGGGAGCAGCTGCAGAGCCCCCCCCCACCCCATTTCAAAGGAGCCTGCAGAGGCAGCTCTGCAAATAAGACCCCATAAAGTGGTTAAACATGCTTGCCTGAGAACAGCTCTCCCAAAGAGCCCCCCCCTCGCCAGGAAAGCAAACAGATTTGTTTGTCCCAGGATGGGACCCAGCACAGCTCCCCCCCCCCACCTCACACCTATCAAAGGGCCAGGAAGAACCGTTGCCCTCTGTGTGTCTGGGGGGGGGGGAGAATTGCTTCCTTCCATCCTGGTGTTTGTGGAAGACACCCACATGCTAGTGGTCTCCCCCCACCATACCCCACTTTCAGCCGGGGCTGCCAGGGAGGGAGGATGGCCAGCTGCTTCAGAGGGGCTCAGGCGGCCCCCCCAAGGCCAGCCAGCTGAGCAGAGAGCGGCCCACTTGCTGATGCCCACCTGGGCCAGAGGGGGCCTGTCCCAGCTTCCTCGGCCGACTCAGGGCTTTCCCGATTCTTTGGCTGGGGGGGGGAGGGGGGGTTAGGCTTAGAATGCATAGGGGGTGCAGAAGGAAGAAGGCAGGGCAGCCCAGAGGATGGTGCCAGGGAAGAGCTGCCGGCATTCGGGGTCCCCTCCCTGGGCATCCTGGGCTTAGGTGGCCTGGCCCACTCGCCGTGCACCCCAGGGCCCGAACCCAAGGCCACTGCCCTGCGGAGCTGAGGGGTGGAGCCCAGAGGGCCCCAGGCGCATCGTTTGGACCAGCTCAGCGTCTCCAAAAGGCCTCCGACCAGGGGGGAGTCTTGGCCTCCAGAGGACGTTCTCCCCCCACCTCTTCGGGCTCTCTTTTGGCCAGGGAGGGTGCTTGGGGTGCTTGGGCCATGACTGAGCGCTCTCTGGGAGGCGATGGGCTTCTTCCTGGCCCTGCCCACTGCAGAACCATAAACTCAGCCCCACGGCTGCTTCTCCCACCCTGCCCCCCTCCAGGCACGGAGGGTCTATCCAGAATAAACCCCGTTTCCCCCCTTCTGTGAGAAGAGCTGGGTTTGTGTCTAGATGGGATTAGAACCCGGGTCCCCGTTTCTAGCCTGGTGTCTTAACCAGGGCATCAAATGGTCATTCTTTCGCCTGGCAGGCAAGGCCAGCCCCCCCCCCCCTCCACACAGGGCAGGATCCCTCACCCTGGATGTTCCAGAAAGCAACTCCCCCCCCCCCATGAAGTCAGCCAGACAGGCAAAGGGGTCCCTTTGCTGGGCAGCCCCCCGAGAGGGCCCCTGCCCAGGGCTCAGAGGAATGGGTGTGCAGCCGACCCCCATCTTCTCCAGTGGGGAAGGGGCTGAGTCCGCCTGTGGCCGGCTGAGTGGACTGGACACGGCCAAGCAGGGAGGCCAATTGGAGGAGCCCTTGCAGGCCGCTGCTTTCGGCCAAAGGGTGGGGGCTCTCAAAGACCAAGGCTTGGAAGAGAGGCAGGAGATCAGGCCAGGGCACAGCTGGGAGGGAGGGGAGTTTGTGGGAAGGGGCACACCCAACTGACACCAAAGGTACTGATTCCGCTGTGGCTGAAGGTCCAGGAGGCTGCAGGAGGCCGATGGCCCTTGGCCGTAATTACATCAGACCAGCCATCCCCTTAAGGACTGTTCCATGGAAGCTTATCTCATGGTCATGAAGAGGCTATGACCACCAAGCACAGATAATCTTGGCTGAGGTGTGAAGGTTCCTCATTGCCTTGTTAGTTTTGCAAAAAGCCTTCCCAGAATTTGCACTGCCTGCCATCACTTAATTGCTCAGCGTAATTAGAAGGCCAGTGTAAAGAAATCGCAATTTATGAAATCTCTGGATTTGATTTCAAATCACATTGCCAGAAGAAAGTTTCCTGAAGTAATTATTTCTTGCTTTGTTTCAATGGGTCACTTATCTTTGTCTTCTAGATAATTATCCAGTTTCCGTGAATGGGCCAGTAAATGTAATCATTAATGCTGAGCTCATCAGAGGGAGGGTGTGAAGTACCCTGGATTCTTAGGGGCCATTAAGCTTCCCTGGAGGGCGGGTGGGGAGGGGGCTGCTCAAAGCCAGGAGGATTCTGGCTAAAAGTGGCCCTTTTAGAGCTGGGGGGGGGGGAAGCTCTGTCCTGGGGGAGGGGGGAGGAATCAGTAGCTGTGCCCAACAATGGAGGTCATTAACAGCTGAATCCCCTTCGGCTCAAGCCCTGTGTGGATTCCCAGTCTGGGGAAAATGCACAGCCGGCCAGGAAATTTCAGGAAGGGACCCAGCCTCCTTCAGCCCCCCTGGAGAGAGGAGGGGGAGGCCCTCCTGGGACCCGGCAGGTAGCAATTCTCCAGGGGAGGCAGGGGCTTTCACCCTGTTAAAACACCTGCTGGATCCCCAAGGGAAACCTTCCATCTTAAGGCCCAGGGTGGAGGGTGAGGGTGGGATTAGGTTGGGTGGGGGTCTCCTCCCTGTGAGAGACAACAGCAGCCCCTCTAAGCACCTTCAGATGCTCAGGAACATTTGGCTCCCAAAGGTGGCTGATGGAAATGGGCTTTATTGGTTTTCTTTTATAAGGCATTTATTATGTATTATTATGGCCCAAATAAAATCCCAATTCCTCCATTCATAACATTAATAAAAATAATCAAACGTTATTGCTAATAGCTCATTGGTCCCAGATGCTCCCTGGCTCTGTATCCTCCCCTCCGCCCGGAGGTTTCAGCAGAACCCTGACCGGCTGCCCTCCCTCCCTGGCCAGCCCCCTCCTAGCTCCGACCCCCCCCTGCAAAGGCCCAAGTGCCGGGGGGGGGGGGCTCCCCGCTCTCCTCCCCGCTCTCTGGTCACAGAGGCCAGTCCGACTCTTGGCCCAGCAACCCTTCTGGGCTGGGCCTCTGGTGGGACGGAGGGCAACACGGGCACCAGGCTCCGAACTCCGGGAGCCCCTTAGGGAGGGCAGCTCTCAGCAGCACTTGTGCCACAGCATCCCTCCGAACTGGGCAGGAAGGAAGGCATCGTAATCATCATTGCTGAGGCTGAAGGCCCATCTGGGGGAGGCTGAATGATACGTAAGTTAAGTCGGGTCTCCAAACTTCAAGATTGTGGACTTCAACTCCCAGAATTCCCCAGCCAGCGTAACTGCCTTTAACATGCGCTGAAATAGAGATCCCGAGGCCGACAGTCCCCACATACCAGTCCTGCGCTGACGACGGACCTGACCTCTTTCAGTGACTGTCACCCCTTTCTGCGTCCCACAGGTCAGCAATGGGTTGTGCGAAGAAAGGCCTTCCGGTCTCAGCTCTGGCTTTCTTGGATGAGCTCCCTCCCAGGAGTCTGAGGGAGGCAGAAAGACGGCTCTTTTGACATGCTGGGCCAGGCTGCTTCAGTTGGGCTCCAAGGGCCGCCGGTCTCTTTGCTAGAGGGGGAGCGACCTTCCCCCTGCCTCAGCCCTCTTCTCCACCTTCCTTTGGACGGACGGACGCCTGCATTGCCTTTTCTGGCTGGGGAGGTTAAGCTTCACAATCTGGTCCTCAGTCCGGGATCCTTCAAGCACATCAGAGCAGCCTTTCCCGAATTCAGAAGGTGGGACAGGTGCTGCAAACTGCTTGGGAAGGGCACTATTGTGCTTCGGCTGTGCAAAAGCCTGCATGGCCTGGTAGAGCCCAGCCCAACTGCCTCTGACCGGCAAGTCCTGCCCTCTGGCCCTTCTGGGGAGCCTCCAGAGGAGCCTCGTTGGCCCTGTGAGTGGGGGCTCCATTGCTGAGGCTGGAACGGGGCTGCCACCTTCCCTCTGGCTGGGGCACTTCCTCCAGACAGGAACCGACACTTTCCTGGCAAGGATGGCAAAGGCAAAGATGGCAAGGAAGAAGGCAGCTTTTTCCTGGGTGTGTGTTGGGGGGGGGGGAGGATCCCCATGCCCCTCTCCCAGGCAGCCCCTCCAGTTGGAAGGCCTCCCTTTCCTTCACCTCTCCCCCCATTCACACCTCTTCAGGCTCAACCCATTAGCTCCTCCTGGGCTGCTAATTGCCTGGGACTCCACACAAATAAGCCCCGAGGTTTCCCAACTGAGCCTCCGGCAGCCTCCATTCCGGGCTGGGATGTTCTGGTCTTCCAGAAGGTTCTGTTGCTCCCCTGGAGGAGAAGCCTGCAGCCACTTGGGCAAACTGGTCGTTTCCTAAACGTCCCGAGATGGAGGCTGGGTGGCCATCAGCTGCCTGGCTGGGATGAGCAGCTGGGAAAGAAGGCGGCCCTGGGCCCACATCTGCTCCCCCTCCACAGCTGGCGGCTTCAGTCCCAGGGAAGGGGCTGTTTCCCCAGGCGAGGCCCCTGCCTTCCCCCCAGAGTCTCTGGAGGAACATTCTCATTTTTGCAAAAGCTGAGCTCTATTCAGGCTTTCGTGGCTGCATTCAGACGACACGCCCAGCCTG